TCTTTGAGGGCAAAGCTCTCAAAGAATGCTCTCCGCAGGAGCATTGGCTTCTTCACATGAAGAAGGAAATTTTTTTTTAGCAATGTTATAACATTATATATATTATTAATATAAATATTTTTTTAATTTGTATCACCATTAAAGGTCACGTGATATAAAGATTTTATTGCATTTTTGAGCATAAACTTACTGGGGTTGGTCACAATGGTTGATCATCAAACATAGTTCAGGTCAATATAGAAATTTATTATATGCGGATTTTTTAATGTTACACATATATATATCATCAAAACATTATAGTAAAATCGTTAAAGATTTAGATAAACTTTAAAACGTAAAGGCACAATAACCAAGCAGGTTGTGGGAATAATCTTTCCTCAGTTGTATTTCCAAACACTCAATTAATAGCCTATCAGAAAGTTTTTTTCATTTTTATTAATAAAGAATTTTTTTGTAAAGGTTCAAAGTTATCAATTTTGTTGATTTCGCTATAAAATGAAATTTAGATAAACTTTAAAATCTAAAGGCTCAATAACCAAACAAGCTGTGGGAATAATCATTCCGCGATTGTATTTTCAGACACTCAATTAATAACCGATCAGAGAGTTTTTTTAGTTTTTATTAATAAAAAATTTTTTTGTAAAGGTTCAAAGTTGTCATTTTACTATTAACAATGGAAATTTAGATAAATTTCAAAATCTAAAGGCTCAATAACCAAACTAGCTGTGGGAATAATCTTTCCACGGTTGTATTTCCAAACACATAGTTAATAACCGATCAGAGAGTTTTTTTCATTTTTATTAATAAAAAAATTTTTTGTGAGGTTCAAAGTTATCGATTTTGTTGATTTTACTATCAACAATGGAAATTTAGATAAATTTCAAAATCTAAAGGCTCGATAACCAAACTAGCTGTGGGAATAATCTTTCCGCGATTTTATTTCAAAACACTCAATTAATGACTGGTCAGAGAGTTTTTTTCATTTATATTAGTAAAAAAAAATTTTGTGAAGGTTCAAAGTTATCAAGTTTATTGATTTTACTATTACTATAAACAATAGAAATTTAGATAAACTTTAAAACGTAAAGGCTCAAAAACTAAACAATTGTGGGAATAATCCTTCCGCGATTTTGTTTAATAACACTCAATTAATGACTGATCAGAGAGTTTTTTTCATTTATATTAGTAAAAAAAAATTTTATAAAAGTTTAAAGTTGTCAATTTTATTGGTTTTTACTATAAAAAATGGGAATTTAAAATGTAAAGGCTTAGTAACCAAGCAAGCTATGTGAATAATCTTTCCGCAATTGTATTTAAAAACACTCAATTAATAGTCTATCAGTGAGTTTTTTTGATTATATTAGTAGAAAATTTTTTTATAAAGGTTCAAAGTTGTCAATTTTATTGATTTTTACTATTTTGGAGATGTTACAAAAATTTCAAAATAACTTTTAAAAAATCCGCATATATGAAAATTTATTATTGATGTTTATTATTTTTGATGATCAACCATTGTGACAACCCCAATAACTTACAATTCTGAGTTTTGATGTTTTTTCCCAAAATTGGCTACGAGGCGCAGCAAGTTGCGTGACTAGGTGACTTGCACCATAGAATAAAAAAAATTTCCTTTTTTTTCAACCCCATATTTCCAACCCCTGTTTTTGACGCGTTAATAATAATAATTTATAATTTGTTACACGGTCACGGTCAATCTTATTATTCTTTTACAACAACAAAATCCGTAACATACATTTATAACAAATGTCTAGATACAACAAACGTGAAAATAAAAAGCCAAAATCTACCTCTTACGAAACTCTTCGTCGTCTAAGAGAACAGGGTGGTTCCCGTTTAGACGAATATGAAGTAATTATACAAATATAATTTATTATTTGAAGTTTTTTAATAATAATACCATTTGTTAATGTGTATATATACATGCATACATATATAATTAGCTTAAAGAAGAAGTATTGTATGATTTAGTTAGTGAGGCTGAATATCAAGCTCGACTTCAAATTGAAAGAGAGGGAAATGATTTTATTATTGATGATGATGGGAATGCATTTATAGATGATGAAACAGATGAGGAAACTGATGATTCCCAATATGATGATTCTCCTCAAACAGGTAAATCATAAAATCAATCATGATCATCATCAGTTTGTATATGTTAATTTCAAAATGAATAAATTATTATAGGAAAAGGAAAAGGAAAAAGAAAAAGACAAAAAGGGGATAAAAAAACCGAGAAGATTAAGCCAGTTAATGCATTTTTCCAGCGTGTAGCTGCTGTAACTGAGCAAAAATCTACTGTGGTAATAATTAATTTTTAAATTATCCTTATAGATTATCCTTATTATCATTATTATCTTATAGATAGATAAATTGATAAATTTAATTTCATGAAATAGGTTGAATCAAATGAAAAGGAATCAAATTTTATGTCAAAATTGTTTGAAGATTTGGAAAATGATATGGAAGATGTAGAGTTTAATGTTAAGGAAATAGATAATAATAGACTTGATATGGAAATTTTGAAAATTAGTGTCTCACATGCTATGGATGAATTTGATAATGATGATAAGGGCATTGATGATAATAATCATATTGATGAGCACAATAATGTTAATGAGCATATTAATATTGATGATGATGATAATAATAATGAGCACAATAATATCAATGAACATAATAACATTGATGAACATAATAATATTAATGAGTACAATAATCTTAATGAACATAATAATATTAATAATAATATTAATGAACATAATAATATTAATAATAATATTAATGAACATAATAATATTAATAATAGTATTATTAATGAATATAATAATATTAATAATAGTATTGTTAATGAACATAATAATATTAATAATAGTATCATTAATGAACATAATAATATTAATGAGCATAATAATCTTAATAGTATTAGTGAGCATGATCCTTATGATATCAAAGATATTGAAAATTCTTATAGTTTACAATCTGAAAACATTGAAATAGATATGAATGTTTCCAATAATAATGATTGTTTTCAAGAGACTGCCCAAATAGCTAATTGTCTCAAAATTTTTTGGATTGATGCATATGAAGCATCTGGTAAAGTGTATATATTTGGAAAGGTATATTTTATTTAATTGATAAATTGTCATATCTTTTTTTTGATATTATAATAATAATATTTTTAAATAGATATTGGATGCAAAAGTTAACGGAGTTAATGAATTTAAAAGTTGTTGTGTCTGTGTAAACAATGTCGCAAGAAATCTTTATGTATTACCTAGATCAAGAAAATATGATGGTTTTTATTTTTATCATTTTTATAAATTCTGTAGATTTTTTGTCTTATAATTTAATTGCAATCTTTACATAATAATAATCAATTTTAGAAAAAGGGCATGATACCGATACTGAAGTTACTATGGAGGATGTCCATAAAGAAATTGAATCTATATGTTTAAAACATAAGATAATGTCTTTTACTTCAAAAACTGTATCTAGAAAATATGCTTTTGAACTTCCAGGAATTCCTTCAGATTCAGATTACCTCAAAGTAAAATATTCATTTACTGGTGAGTGTATAATATGAGTGTATATAATTTAAATCAATGTATAAATTACTAACTTCTCATTTAATAGATCCAACACTTCCAAATAATCTATCTGGGGCCACTTTTAGTCATGTTTTTGGTACAAATAATTCAGCATTGGAGTTGTTTCTTATAAAACGTAAAATAAAAGGACCATGTTGGTTGGAAATTAGAAATGCAATAGTGCAGAAAAAAAATGTATGTAAAATTCAAAAAAACCCCCCTTTTCTCTCTTGACAAGATTGATTTAATATTTTAGTTAACTGGTTCATAATGATGATTATGATAATAGTTTTCTTGGTGTAAAGTTGAGCTTGAAGTTTATAATCCAAAAGACATAAATCCATCTAATGATACAACAGCAACATCACCATCACCACCATTAACAGTAATGTCATTGATCTTACGTACTGTTATGAATTATAAAAAAAATGTCAATGAAATAGTTGCTTTTAGTTGTCGCGTCATACCTGAAGGTTATTAAGAAAAAACCATTATTATTACTACTATTACTTCATCAAACAAATTTTTTGCTTTAATATTAAATTTATACATACATATATATATTTACATAGTTGATATAAGCACGGTTTCATCAGCAAATCCTGAAGCATTTCAATTTACAGCGATCAGGCAATTAAATGATAAAAAATGGTGGCCGATTGGATTTGAAGATTTAATCAATAAAAGTAATGTAAATTTGAGACTTGAAAAAAACGAATATGCTTTGCTGAACTATTTAATAGGTATTTTATCTATCTGTTTGATAAATATAATTAATTGTTTATAATCAATAGAGGTTCATTTATTTCTTTTTTGCAGCATTGATTAAAAAACATGATCCTGATATTTTTGTTGGACATAATTTTATGGGATTTGATCTTGATATATTATTACATCGTATAAATACACTAAAAATTAGAGATTGGTCATGTTTTGGGAGATTACGTAGAACAATGTAGGTCATTTTAAGTATAAAATGGTGCTATTATATTGTTATAATATTAAATGTTTTTGTTAAATTTTTGTTTTGTTAAAAAGTTGGCCAAAAATGAAATCTGGTACTGGTGGTATTGGCGAATCAACTTACGTAGAAAAAATAATTGTTAGTGGAAGATTATTGTGCGATATCTTTACAAATGCAAAGGTAAATTTACAATCTTCTTTTTATTTTTAATTTAAAAAAGCACATTCTATTTATTAATTTTTTTATGGGCATATTTATAATTTCTAGGATCTTGTTAAATCAAAAGATTATTCATTAACAGAACTTGCCAAAGCTCATTTAAATTATAATCGTAAAGACATTCAACTTGATAAAATCGAATCATGTTTTGCATCATGCAAAGATTTATATGAATTGGTTTTGCATTGTCAATTTGATTCAGTTCTTTCTGCTCGTTTAATGTATAAACTTCAAATTTTACTTCTTACAAAACAACTTACTTCACTTGCTGGTAATCTGTGGTATGTATGCATAAACCAATATTCTAAAATAACATAATATCAGATAATTATTTCAATTTAGTAATTCATGATGTATATACATATACATTTCAATTTATCAATTTATTAATTAGGCCAAAAACTCTAACTGGTGGTAGAGCTGAACGTAATGAATATTTGTTATTACATGAGTTCCACAGATTAAAGTATATTTATCCTGACAAAGATTCCAATAAGCAATGTTCATACAATAATATTGTAGAACCAGATGATAATGGTATAGTAACAAAAGATTTTTTATTTGAAAATATACAAGATATTAGAATGATCTAATAACTAATATATACATTATGTATATATGTGTGTATGATTAAATTATTAGATGAAAAAGTTGAAATAAAAAAACCAGGTCAAAGAAAACCAGCTTATTCTGGAGGTCTTGTTTTAGAACCAAAAAAAGGATTTTATGACAAATACATTGTTCTTTTAGATTTCAACAGTTTATATCCTTCTATTATTCAAGAATTTAATATTTGTTTTACAACAGTTGATCGTACTAATTTGGTGAGTTATTCATATATTTTTTAAATTTTTAATGAATCAAATCTTTTATTTCTTTAATATTATGTATATAGGAAGGTGAAGAAGAACTTCCAAATGTCCCAGACTCCACCTTAAAAGAAGGAATCCTTCCCAAATTGATCAGAATACTTGTTGACAGAAGAAAATGTGTTAAAGGGCTTATGACGAAGTCAAAGACATCAGTTGAACATGCTCAGGTAAAGAAATATGCCTTTGTTCATAAATGACTATCATAAAATGTATATATGTATGAGTGTAAATGCTTATATTTTTATTATTTTCTAAATTATTATTCATAGCTTGATATTCGACAAAAAGCACTTAAACTTACTGCAAATAGTATGTATGGCTGCTTGGGGTTTACAAATTCAAGATTTTATGCAAAACCATTGGCAGTTTTAATCACTTCAAAAGGAAGAGAAATCTTACAGGATACTGTTGATTTGGCAGAAAAAGAATCAATGGAGGTGTGGAAATTACTTGTGCTTTATAATGATTTTATGTGTTGCAATAATTAAACTAATAATTTAACTTGTAGGTTATTTATGGTGACACAGATTCAATAATGATCAATACAAACACATCAGAAATGCAAAAGGCATTAGAAGTTGGAAAATTTTTGAAAGAAAAAGTTAATAAACGATACAAATTGCTTGAGATAGATATTGATGGATTTTTTGAAAGGCTTTTATTATTAAAGAAAAAGAAATATGCAGCTGTTGTTGTAGAAAAGAAAAATGGAACACTTGTTCGTCATAATGAGTTTAAAGGACTTGATTTGGTGAGAAGGGATTGGTGTGAATTAGTTCATGATGCATCAAAGTTAGTATAATTATAAATTTGGTTTTGTTAATTACATGTTGATTTAAAGTAAAATACAAAAAAAAATTGAACTTTTTTTCTTTATTTATATAAAAATAGCTATGTCTTAAGTCAAATACTTTCTAGTTCTGATCAAGATACAGTGCTTAAAAATATTCATCAGTTCCTTACTCAATTGGGAGAAAATACACGTCAAGAAAAATTTTCATTGGATAAATATATAATAAAAAAGGTAAACCCATTTGCTTATTTAAATGGGTAAATAAATATTTGGATTAGTTAATAATATATATGTTTGTCTTTCCTTAGAATCTCACCAAATCACCTGAAGCTTATTCTGACATTAAAAGTCAACCACATGTAAAAGTTGCATTAAGAATGAAACAAAAAGGAGCTAGTGCACATCAAGGAAATACTATTCCTTATATAATATGTAAAAAGGATGGGGGAGATAACTCTAAAAATGAACATGTTTCAGAATGTGCTTTTCATCCAGATGAAGTTAGAAACATGAATTTAAATATTGGTAGGTAATTTTTTTTATCTTGTTATATTGATAATTTTAAATTTATTTTGTATATATGTTTATATTTATATTTTATTTTAAAAATTTGAAAATTTGAAAAAAATAGATTTTGAATGGTATTTAACACAACAAGTTCATGCTGCTATAACCAGATTATGTGGATTTTTGAAAAAACAAACAGTTCAAGAATTTCTGATTGTTTAGGTAAGGAATTAATAAAATTAAAAAAGATTTATTATTTTATTATTATTGGATCAATACATTATATAAATTATTTTATACAGGAATTGAATCAGCCAAGTTTAATGAATCAAGTAACAACAATAATAATTCTACAACATTTACTAAAACTAAAGATCAAATTGTTTTCAAAAATGTTGATCGATTTTTGATAAAATGTTATTATTGTGATAATGAAGATTATTATTTTGAAGGAATAAATACAAATGAGGTTTGCATAATAATCAATATAAAAAATTAAATTAAATTTAATTAACAAAAATTTTTAAATTACTTATTTAGGGACATCAACAAATAAATGGTAATATTTTATGTAGTAGTGCAGCATGTAATAAGGAAATTCCATTGCCATCAGTAGCAACACAATTGATAATTGCATTTCGTAAACACATAAGCCGATATTATAATGGATGGATAATTTGTGATGAACAAACTTGTAAATATCGAACAAAAATGATTAGAGCAAATAGAAGTTGTATTGATAATGAATGTTATGAAACAATGTCAGAAGAGGTATTAAATTGTATATGCATGTGATTTTTTTTTTTGTAATTCTTCTAATAAAATTTTTTTATTAAATAGTATAATGATACAATGTTGTATAATCAACTACTATATTATTCATACTTATTTGATTATGAGAAATTGAAAAATCTAAATCCATCTTTAAATTTTGGTAATTTATTATTATTCATTTTATTGTTTTTATTAATGAAAAAATTTTTTTTTTTTTTGATTTTTACTAATGAAGTAAAATTAATAATTGACAGAATACTAAAAGACGCAAGCCAAAGATCCCAGATAAGGACTTGAAACCATGTGCAACAAAGAACAACCAAACATGGCGTTATGCTAGTAGAAAGCAGCAGCTGAAAAAAATACAAGCTTGTCATAAATATATCCCTGAACTCATTCATGTTTCTTTAAATCCTTACTTTGTTTATGAGTTACATTATAACCATATCAGCCGATTTGGTTTTTGGGCCTTTTTTCAAACCTTATGTCTTATTGTGTCTCGATGTTAAACACGAGTATTTTTAATGTGTAAACTGGTCGGTAAAATGATAATTACCCTAAAAAAAATTATTTGCTCCGTTAAAAAACTAATTTACTATCCATCAACCCGTCAAACCAATGGCACCAAACTCAAAACCAATGGGTTTTTGCTAGTATATGATAGCATAGTGGAAATTTGAAATGTTACACTAATTTTTTATATAGTGCAACGTAGCTTTACAATACACGGCAAACATTCTGGCAATAAAAAGTGAGTGTTAAACTGGATTCGAATTTGATCCGAACTTGATCTCCAATTTAGAGAGGTAACAACTATACACTGGCGAAGTTTCAGAAGCAATGAGTTC